TATATATATATATATATATATATATATATATATTTATATATATATACACACACACACACACACACACACACACACACACCCCTCAATGAGAGAGAGTGTCTCATTCCACCAATGTCCAGTGGCTAGGATGGGTGAATAATGGAAGATAGTTTTTCTTTATTATTTGTTGAGAATTCTTGGGCACTGAACAACTAGAGCTTGAAATGGATCAGGTGCCCAACACCTATTCTCTCCCTGAGGTCCCATGTAAGTTCTCTCTATATAGTACCATAACAATCTACAGCGCATCCCTGCAGTATTGCCATTCCCAAATTTCAAAAATCCTGGATCAGCCCCCCTCAAATTGTGAACTTCATGATTTTTAAGACATTATGCCTATATTTGCCTGATAGGTTTTGTGCCTTTAGGGTGCACTTGGATCACATTTTCCAAGCTTTTCTTCCTGCAACGATGAGGACTAGAAACTTTTCTTAAATGAAAGCTGTGATTCACTTTTAATCACTTGTCTCCAGGAGCTAGGGCTTAACGCGAATCTCATATATCCCAAGAATCTCAATAACAATTGGCACCATTGTTTCTATCAGCACAATCAGGAAGTGAGTTTGTTCAGCTTGCTCCCTCTGCTGTCTACTTCTGTAACACAGATACAATAATACTTCCACTATGATGTAAGTGACAGAGTGGAGTATTATTGGTATTTAGAATCCGGAATATATGTAATTTTCTCCCAGATAGAGTCATTTCAGAAAAATTAGTGGGCCAATTTCTTATGTCAGTCACACTGGTATAAATTCAGAACAATCCCAGAGTTTAGTAAATGTTTATTACATGAGGGGCCTGATTCTCCTCCCTCTTGTATGACCAATGGGTGAACCTGAGTGTAAAATATTGCCAGTAGTGTCTTACACTCACTTTTCCTGGGTGTAACTGCCTACATTAGAGCACAAGGTTGTGGAGAATCAGGCCTCAGGTGTAATTTTGCTCTGATTTATAACCTGTGTGCTACCCCAACAGGTACTTCAGGGCAGTGGTGCTCATACCCCTGGGAGTATACAGAGATCTTCCAAAGGGTACATCAACTCATCTAGATATTTGCCTAATTTTACAAAGGCTACATAAAAAGCACTAGCAAAGTCAGTACAAACTAAAATTTCATACCAACGACTTGTTTATACTGCTCTATATACTATACACTGAAATGTAAGTACAATAGTTATATTCCAATTGATTTATTTTATAGTTATATGGTAAAAATTAGAAAATAAGCAATCTTTCAGTAACAGTGTGCTAGGACACTTGTGTATTTTTATGTCTGATTTTGTAAGCAAGTAGTTTTTAAGCTAGGTGAAACTTGGGGTTACGCAAGACAAATCAGACTCCTGAAAGGGGTACAGCAGTCTGGAAAGGTTGAGAGCCACTGCCTCAGGGTTGTAGGTTGTGTCAGTTTCAGCTCTGAATCTTAGGCTCTAAGGAATATCAAACAGGGTAAAAATTGTCCTTTGGTTTTAAAATGGTCATACTGTTGCACTTACAACTATATTAACAGAAACATTATCCAACACAAGATAAACACAGGACCACATTTTTATCTCCCGTATAAATTAGAACTAAATTTATTCAGGTTTCAATTGTTAAATTCAACAAGATTAGAGGGATCTTGGACCAGCAATAAGTGAGGGCATTCACAGTCAAACCAGTTCCTTAATGCTCAGTTATTAAATAAAATTACTAATATTTACTTTGCTCAAGCACAGAGTAAAAAGCAGCCATGCAAACAAAATCGGTATTCCAGCCTTAAGGAACAAAGCATAAAGAACTGCATGGAAAAAACAAAACAAATCTGATAGTCTAAAATATATTGCTATAAGAATAGGATAATCCATTGTCTCCAGAACTTTAGTGTACAGTCCAAAACACTGGACTACAAGAAGAGATTTTCTTTAATAGCAGCTGCACAGTTTCAGTTATTATTGGGCTTTTAGAACATTTATACCCTCCCAGTACACTTTAGAAACTGCCTTATCCAAAGCTCAACTCTTTTCTGCTTTTCTAGAGGCAAAACCTACCAGCTTTGACAGTATAACACCACTAAAACAGATTATTTGATCCTACATGGGATATACTTAAAACGCTTTTGGCTTCATTACACCAACCATCTGCTCTCTTATGGCAGGAGTTCAGTACCCCGCTGGGATTTGCCTTCTCAGTGGGGTCAGCAGGGAGTTTCTATATAGATGGAACAGATAGAATCTCTTCAGTAAGAATCATGTAGGGAGATGCAGGGGATGGAGTGAAAAGGGGAGAAGCATAAAAGAATAATTAGTTTGTGATAAATCACTTCTCCAATGCACAGGGGACTGAACTGGGCATCATGAACTGTGGATTCCATACCTCATTCTAATACTGACCTGCTCGCTGAGCTTGTCAAGTCACTTGACTGATCCGTGCCTCAGTTTCCCCATCTGTAAATTGGAGATATAATACTTGTCTTCCCTTGTAAAGTGCTTTGCAATCTTTAAATAAAAATTGCTGTATAAGAGCTAAGTATTATTTTCATAGACTATCTAAAATTGCTAAGCTAGTGTAAAATGCAAGTTTCTCATAGTGTACTGCATTTCCAATGCCTGGTTTTTTTTGTTTTTGTTTTTTTTAAAAAGCTTCCTCAGTTATTGTTTGAACATTGCTGCAAATGTCTGGAAGACAAAGCAAATTGATATGCTTTTTTACGGCCTTTGATACATCAGCTACTCCTGGGAAAATTCTGCACTACTGCACATGTGCAGAATTAGTGTCCCCCTGCAGATTTGTTTTTTTCCCTCCACCGAATATAGATTCTGCAGGCGAGGTGCTGCAGTTACACCTTTCACCCACAAGGGGCTGCTGTGACACCAGAAGAGAGGGCAGCCAGCAGATTGAGAGGGAAGGGAAAGAGGCTGCATTCTTCACAACAGGGCCAGGTGAGCAGGCACAGGACAGACAGAGCGGGGCACAGGGGACTGCTGGGGGAGGGGGGGGTTAGAGACTGGGATTCAGAAGGGCTAATGGGGTGACAGCATTGAACCAGGGACTGAATGGGAGCGGGGGCTGCAGGGTCACATGGAGAGGGGACAAGGCAATGCAGGGACAGACATGGATGGGGTAGGAGAGTGCAGGGGCACACAGGGACAGGGGTGTGTGCAGATGTGCCTAACGGAGGCTAGGGTCAGTCCCCCCCGCTTTACTCCTTAACACCTTCCCCCCCCCAAAAAGACAAACACACACCATTCCATACTTTTCCCAACAACTCTCCTGGTACTCTGGCAGGCTCCTTCCCCGAGCTCCTCCATTAACCTCGATTCCCACCAAAAGCCAAAAGAAAAAGAAAAAATTTCCTGATATTTTTTAAAAGATGTGTATTGTTACAGACATACTTGCTGATTAAATTATTTTGGTAATTTATTTCAAAATACCTATTTAAACTGGCTATATTTGAAAAATATGCATAATTTTAAAATATTGCACACAGAACTTTAAATTTTTTGGCACAGAATTCCCCCAGCAGTAATCAGCTACAATAGACCAGCACATTTCGCTGTACAAGATATCTATTCTTGCTTTTTGACTCTGGAACTAACTGGATCATGTATTTACTGTGGCGGAGAGAAACAACATCAGTTCCACAGGATCTGTGCCATGCCCCAGCCTTTAAGCAGTCTCTTGGGAGGATCCCCTCAGTGTGCTAGACTCCCTCGGGGTCACTGCTACAAGGGTAGGCCACACAGCTTCCAACACTGAGCCTTGGGCTCCTGCACTCGTTTCTCACTGTGTGCTTTGCCCAGTGAGTCCTACTGAGGTAGACTCCCGTTCAGAGACTTATCAATGCACTCCTGCAAATAACTGCAGCAATTCCATGCCACCTTTTCCAAACAGTAGGGTTTATTAGAGACAAGGGGTAGGTGAGGTAAGATCGGTTATGGACCAACTTCTATTGTTGAGAGGGGGGGGGGGGGCTTTTGAGCCACATCGAGCTCTTCAGGGCAACTGGAATATTGGATGAGCAAGTCCTTAGGTTAGAGAAGCAAAGGTTAATAGGTAATCCATATTGGCTAAAGTGAGGGCTCCCACAAGCCATGCTGCTGGAGGAACCATCTTGGTTTCCTTTCTCGGTCTCACTTTGTTCTTTTTGTCTTAGCTCCAGGTAAGAGACCTGTGCCTCACTGTCTCTCTCTGTGTGCGTCTGTCTGCCTGCACTGTAACAGAACATCTGTGGCTGGCCCAGGTCACCTGATTCTGCCTCCCAGGGCTCAGGCCGCCAGCCTGAGCTCAAACATCTACACTGCAATTTTACAACCCTGAAGCCTGAGCCATGCCCATGAATCAGCTGACCGCGCCTACCACTGGTGTTCTATTTCAGTGTAGACATACTTTGAGACAATTGCCAGTCACCACCTCCTCCATCCATTGTTCTCTGGCTGTAAAACCATGTTAAGTTCACACGTTCTGCCTGCTGGAAGCCTCCCATGAATGTGTGTCAATTGTTCAATCTTTGAGGTTTCCATGGTCTCTGCAGGGTCTTCCATGCCTGTGGGTTGGTTCCAGCCAATCGTTAAACAAATCATTAATATCACTCCAGACAGCTATGTAACAAGACACCTGCTTTGCCCCAGGAGCAACATTTTAAACCCTTCTGCACCCATTGTTAACAATGCCAGAGTGAAAGGTACAATCATACAGATAGTTCATAAACATATTAGACAATTCCCACTTCTGTCACAACATACACAAGAATACGTGCAAGTGGCAAAAACAAATTCCACACCATGCACATTGAGGGCAAACAGACACAGAAACTTTTACATTTAGTAAATGTACAACCAAGAATAGACCCAACCTAAGAGCTTGGCTTTGCATACAATTCAGCTTCCCATCCCCAGGTCAAGTGGTGGTAAGAGTAAATCCAGTTCAAACATGTAATTATGAGTTCTGGGAAAGGAAAATAGAAATCTATGGGCATGATGCAAAGTCCAATGAAGTCAAGAGAAAGACAGCCACTGACTTAAATGGGCTGTGGATCAGGCTCTGTGTGTGGAATTTACACATTCCATGGATTTCAGATTCCCCCATACATTTTATCCCTGCCTTTTTACCCCACAATTGTTTTAATTTTTAAGTCAAATGGAGCTACTGTACACTGAACTTACATCATCTGAAGTTTCTAGCCCTTCTGGTTATAAAAAACCTTCCAGATAAGGCCCAATACATCAGTACTTAACAGTAGCCAGACAACCTCAAACAGCAGCTCTAACAGATGAGTGAACTCCCCCAATTTAAGAGGATGTTAACTCTGAACCCTACTAAACTAGCCTCTGGGAACACAATGGAGCTGTGCTGCCATGAAGCCATGCTGCCATGAAGCCAATCCAACAGTAATAATGCCAATTTAACATTGTTGGAAGTTTGACATCGTTGGTTATGCAAGCTATTATCATGGCCCCAATTCAATCAAATTCCTTTATTAAATCTGAAGGCCAAATGGTATTTCTACCTTGCACTGAACAAGTCTAAAAGCCTAAATAATAAGCAATTACTTATTTTTAATACATAGTATTTAAATACATAGTAACACACATTCATAATCATTCTCATGAAAGGATCAGTTCCAGGGATAACCCTCTCCTCTTGGCTTGCTCCAGTATGACCAGATAGGTTCTGAGAATACCCCTCACAAGCCGTATACACTAACAAATAAGTGATGTCATAATGACCATTACAATCTTAGCAAAAACCAGGTTTTGGCCAGGTTGGGGTTGACCCCTTTCCTGGTCTTGGCTAAAACAAAATATGGCAATTGGTTCTTGCTTCAACATTAGTATGTTGGGGCATCACAATCCTCCTTTCCTGTTCAAACTAGGTAGAACCAGTCTTAAGAAAAGAGTCCTAATTATTATCAGCCACAATTTGAGTTCAGCATTTTTACAATTTATCTTGCCAATTGCATTATTACCTTATAATTTCAAAGCCCTTCCCATGGCTGCTAAAACATCTTTATTTCACTTAAAGGAAAGTGTTTTGTTATTTAAGAAGCTATGCTAATTTAACCCTTTATGTACCCGTCTAATCCTACTAATGTAAACGTTAGTAACTATTTAATTGTGGATTTGCTTACCAGAACCGTCCAGCTCATATGCTTAGTGCTTATCCACTGAGCCATTCTTTTGAAAGAACATCCCCCTGAAAGAAAGCTGCAGGATTTCAAAACGTAACTGCTTTAAAATCAAATATTTGATTTAACATTAACATTATTTTATTTTTGTCCTCAGCTAGAACCTCCTCCCTTTAAAGGAGGAATCTTGGTTTACCGGGGGGTGGAAACCATTGAGGCGGGGAGGGCAACCCCAGTGCCCTGGAAAATATTGAAACTATTTGTTTCTAAATATTGGAACTATTTGCCCTAGTTGTTTTAGGGAGCTTAATCCCCATTAAGGCTAACAGAAATTAGCAAGAAAGATCTATTATTTCATCTAGTCCATTCCTTGCCAACAGAAGACTGCTCTCTGATGTACGTTTTCCCAGTTTTGTCTAGTCTCAAGCAATGGGACAGCCACAATTAAGTGGACTTATCTCAGATCATACAATTAGAAATTTCCCTCTGATATTCTGCCTCAAAATTCCCTTTATTACAATTCCATTATTAAAAAGAACAGGAGTACTTGTGGCACCTTAGAGACTAACAAATTTATTAGAGCATAAGCTTTCGTGGACTACAGCCCACTTCTTCGGATGCATAGTGGGCTGTAGTCCACGAAAGC